CGGAACCGCAATAATTCGGAGAAGGAACGGGCAGAGTAGGGGAGGCCGATAAGGGATGATATACTAAGCTAGATAGTAACAGATCCAGCGAACGTTAGTGTTGTTTCAGGAAGGTATGTGGTTCTATAGCGACAAGCTGCAAACAAAAGTGCGAGAGTGGATGAAGGCGAGAGAAGAGGAAGCGAAAGAGAGAGTGGGGAGGGGGATGTTCTGGAAAAGAAGGCAAACACATACCAGCCAGACAAACTCAGTAAGGTTGATGATGATTAGTTAGTAGTAAGGCAGGGCCCGAAGCTTGAGGGGCAATCTGTACAGCGATGGAATGGAAACAATAAATCCGGGATTAGATGAAGACAGGTGCTGGGCAATTTCAATAAAGCAGCAGCCAAGCCAGCCAGCTAGCCAGCAGACAAGCAAGCAAGCAAGCAAAGTACTAAAAAAGCACGCCTCAAATTCTCTAGCCAGCCGACCAGCAAGCGAGCAGGAAGTTGAGGGTGATGGAGGTGGGGGAAAGGAAAGGAAAGGAACGATGATAATAATAGTAGTCTTGGTAGTAAAAGTAGTAAAAGGACTGGGTTAGGAGAGCCTGGCAAGGACGGAGTTGGGGGGGGAACTGACGACAGCCGGCAGGGGCGTGCATGAGCCCAGGGGAGAGAGAGAGAGAGACTCACTATGTCTGTCTGTGTGGGTGGGTGGAGTGGAGTGGTCAGTGATGATGATGAGCAGATAAAATTGTGGTCCTCAAACAATATACTGGCTAATTAAAATGAGTGTGATTGAACAAAAGTATAGAATGTGACAATGATGCTGAAAGGAGCGTAAGAAGGATAGTTACTAACTAACAGGAACTATTCTACCGTCCACTGGAATGATTATTATTGTTTGTTTCTTTTCTTTCCCCTTCCTCCTTTCCCCATAAAAAACCCCCGAAACCCATTTCCAACAATAATAGTGATTTTATTATTGTTATGAAATGTCAAACCCACGATTTCTATTTCTATTTCTATTTTCCCCCCTTCCATCTTCGCATCCATACTAGTATTTTATTCACTGTTAATTAATTACTCTTAGCCGCCCGGCCACATTTTAGCCGGTGGGAACGTGGGCCGTTTCTGTCATTGCGTTCAGGCACCTTTGGGACTGGCTTGAAATATTCTTCTCTACTTCTTTACTATCTCATTTCTCATTACTATTTGTTCTTACCAAATTATCTTATGGAAGTTTTACTACGGAGTAATAAAATAAACTTACAGCCCAGGAGAATTTAAGATTACTCCTGATCCTTCGAGATTTCTTCTTTCCTCAATAGTCAAAATAGTACTTTGAAACTAGCATAACTATGCAAAATACTCTGTACTGTTCCTGTCCGCCGCTCCGAAAGGCCGATGTCATCGATCCCGGCCTTGCTTCCTGTTACAGGAAGGAAAAGAAGCAGTAATTGGGGGCGTATGTGGATCATAACATCATAACTACTAGTAGTAGACTAGCTAGCATCATTCATAAACTTACTACGTACGTACTTACTGTAGTTCTAGTCAGCCAGCAGCCCCTGAAATTCTCTAACAGCCGTTTTCAATCAACATCGTCATCGCTTTTAGTCAACCTTGCTTAGCGGTCCCTAATTAACTCCCGGCAAATCCGACCCCCTGATTACTTTGACAGGGAAAGAATAAATCGACACTTAAAGCTCTGATAGGGTCTTCGCTTATGACATGCCTCCCTAGTTTCTTTTAGTAAACGCCCCTACCACACGTATCTGGTATGGATTGTCCATCTTGTTTCACGGGCCTGTCACTCCAGAGATTGAATAAGTTGCCATAAAAAGTACGTGCTGGAAATCAGTTACTATCACATCATACGATGACTGCATCACATCTGTGACATACTGCTACTACTACTTCCATAGGTCAAAATAACCCGATATGGGGAAGGGGGGTCACCTTATCTACATAGCAAAGGCTAGAAGATACACACAAGTACAGTAACCTCAACTTGGCTCATTACTGTGTATATAAACAATCAATTCATTTAGCATGGTTGGGGTATATGACTGACAAGTTCCATCTCACCGAGACCCGAGACCCAAAGCTTCCGACTCTATTCAATTAACCCATCACTTCAAACCCCTTCTTTCCACCAAGGGAGAGACTGTAGTTGCCCCACGGCCCGATGGCTCATACACAGCGCTGGATCAACCCCATCTAGCCCTTCCTCTCCCTGGAACGCGAGGGCGACCATCCCAAAGTAGGAGTGAAGGAGATCTGCAATTGTCAGTCAGCGAGGAAATTACCAGGCATTAAATAACCACCCCAAGGGTACCAACCTGGTGGCTCGCCCACACCCTTTCCAAATCCGCCGATGATATGCTGCGTTTTTCCGAGAAGATATTGCCGATTCCGACTTGCGTCCACGAGGTCTAACCTATTCATCATCTGTCCACCAACGATCGGATCAGCAATGCCACTCTTTCACACAAACTGTGATTGCTTACATCTAATGTTGCCAGGTTCCAGAATGAGTAACATGTATCAGCATACTTATTACATCGCCCATTGAAGCCTGCACATCGTAGATCCTGTTCCGTTGGTGGCGGTATAACGGGGAGCTTATCGAGGCTCTCATTTAAGCTTACTTCTTCAACAGCCTCCGGTACCGGTTTCGGAACCTCATTCACCTCAGGGCTGTTATCATCGTCCGAGTCCTCCTCTATGTCGCCGAGCTCAGTCGTTTGTCTAGCAACGAGCCAACGAACCAAGGACTCAAATTCGTTCGCGCCTGGCGAAAGGACAGGCGGCGGCTCCTGATCCTTTGCCATACGACTTAAAAAGGTCAAGGCGCCCATTGCGCAATACGTATGACCGGCTGCGGGGGTATACGAGTAAGCTGCCATTCTGTAACAATAAAGGGGGTCCCAATTCTAAGCAGAGTGAGACATTTGGTAGGAACGTACAATGCGCTTCACAAAAAGGTGCTTCACCCATACCGCCATCATATGCCTGGAAAAATGCATCTCAGCAAATGTCACGTATCAGATGATACGGAGTAAAAGAGCGCAGGTCACTTACTTGACATGCCTGAACAAACGCGGCCAGCTTGTCCACATCAATGTCCTTGATTCCGTCCACATCTACCCCGCCATTCCCCCGCAGAATATAGCGCGTGCCTGCTGCAAAGCAGCAAAAGCGTAGATCACCACCACCTTCAATTTTCCCTCCGGGACCCAGCACCTCTCCAAAGCTTCCATTATCACGCTGCATGCGCGGCAGCCATTGTAAACACTCCCTCCGCTTCACTCGCGATAAATCATCGCCCAGGATGATAAGGAGCTCCAGCGCAAAAAAGGTAGAGGGTACATTTGCCGGATCCCAAGCTTCATTCTCCGATGTCCGATTCTCCGCGCCAAAATCCGTTCCGGTGAAGGCTCGAAATCCGCCCGTGGGAACCTGGCAGTGGTAGATCCAGTCGATGTAGCCTTGTCGCTCTTCGGGGGTGGTTTTGCTCTGCAAGACGCCGAGGAGGTCTAAGCCGGCGACCGTGAAGAAGGCGAGAAGCATGCGATTGGAGTCATTGGAGGTGTATAGGCTGGGAAGGAAGGTTTTGAGACATCGTAGGAAATACTTGATGTGTCGTTCTTTGGTAAAGGTGACTGGGACGTCGGTCATGATGTCAGTGCCCGCGATAATAATATCAGCTTCTCCCGTGCGGAGCTCTGGCCATATGTTTTGGGTTAGTATAGAGGTATAGTAGAGAGTGTGCACCGGGAGAAAGGGGGACAGTAGTCTCCTCCGAGTAAGCCGACAAATTGCTTTTCTTTGAGAGGGGGCGGGCAGTCGCTAACTGTTGGTCTTGCGCATTCCCGGCCTGCTTTCTCCATCTCGATCGGAGGCTGCCAAAAGTCCAGCCCCACTCGGCCGCCGGGGAAATCCAATTCTCGTTCCCCAATCCGAATTCCATCGGTCGAAACAATGTTTTTTGTTGTTCACCATTGAGACAGCTGCAGAGCTCAACCTTCCCAGATACTCTCTGCAACCCGCCCGTGATACATTAACGCATGTGTTACACCAGAAAATACTAGCTGGCTGCCCGTTACAGCCATTCCATCAATCCAGCATGGCTCTCCTTTCCTCCAAGACCTTGATCCAGGCACATGCCTTGTTCCTGTTTGTGCTGGCCGTGTACCTGACCAGGTCGCCAGAGGTCGTGACCGAGTCTGACCTCGTCTTCATGCTCGGAGAGTTCTTGAATCTGGTATGTTCATGTTTATATCTTCACTCGGCTCCCTTGATACCTCCCGTCGGTTTACTAAAGATCTCATTCAATCGATTCAGGAGGCGACCCCTAGTATTTCCCGACCTCAATCCCCTTTCGCCCTATGTGGTGTCCTCCTCGTCGTCGATGCCCTGGTCGACCTCATTCTTGTGACCAAGGTCCCGCAAATTAACGAGATCCTGGCCATGGCCCAAGCCGCCAGAGTGCAATCCCCTATACCAGTGGCAGGGGCTGTACGCACGAACCCCTTCATGGCACGCTTGACCTCGCTTTACTCGGAGATCTGGACCCTCCTTTCCGCCGCTCGTTTCTGTATCTTCTTTGCAGTTTCCTTTTTCATATACCAGAGTCAACCATCGGCGTGGGGAATGGATGCCGCTACCGGAATGGGGAACTACGGCACTGCCGGTGCTGCTACATCAGGTCTGGATCAGCTGAAAAACAGGGTGGTATTCACATATGGCTTTATGGAAATGATGTTTTGGTTATGGGTAAGCTTTTCCTCCCGCCCCCACGATTGCTCCCCAGAGAAAGCTTTGGCGGGTATGCCAGTGTCATGATTTGCTGACAATTGATAGATCTTCATCACCCTCAGGGAAGAGCGACAGGAAGCAGCTAACCGGTTCGTGGAACAGGACCGGTAGGCGAACTCATGCAGTCGGCATGACCCTCGCACTACTGAGTATACATCTCTATTTGTAGGCAATACAGCAACCACTGCGGCAAAAGACACTGTGACCTTGATTCCGATCCTATCATACAAACTAATAAGCATATTACAGTTAACTGCACCGGTCCAGTTCAATTTAGCCAGCCTTCGTGAAAGGCGATTATTTGTAGGACACTATTCTGCCGCCCTGAAGATAGGACAGAACCACTTTTGCTCTCAATGATCATCACTCGTAGCACCATCAGGTGTCCCGTTATCCGGTGCCCTCTAGAGAAGCAATGCATAAAATGCTGCCCCGAGGATTGCTGCAAGGCCAGCACTGCTATCTCCCAAGATCATACCAGCCGCACTGCTAGCAGTCGCATTACTTGCGGCATTCTTATCAGTTGCAGTAGCGCCCTGCGTTTTCACAGACTGAGTGTTGCTTCCCGTTTTGGTAGCATTCGCCGCACTGGCAGAGCTGGATGAGTCGAGGCGGGTTCCGTTAGCTGCACCAGTCGAGGTAGTAGTCGCAGAAGCACCAGTCGTTGTGCCCGTGGTCTGCAAAGTAGCACTCGCGGTGTTTCCATTTGTGCAACTAGCGCTTTTTGGGAGATCAGTTACGCCGGCGCCACCGCAGATCTGCTGTGCGAAATTGAGAGCAGCTGGAACACAATTTAACCCATTAGAAGCCGTCATTAAAGCTGAGCCGACGCCATGTACCACGCGGCCAAATAAGGGGTGAGGGTATTGGGAAAGGAAGATTGGACATACAGGTCTGATCCTCCGCCGAGCACGTAGAAGCAACGCAGCATGAAATACCAGTGATGAAGGACGTGTCGGAGCAGATGCAGTTCACATCAATAGCCTTGCAGGTTTTGGGGATAGAACCGGTGGCGCAGTCCCTCTATGATCGGGTCAGTTACATAGAACCAGCAATACTCAGGCAGACAAGTTGCTGTAACTGGGACTTACCGCGCAGGGTGGAAGGCTGTCCATCCCCTGGCCAGCAACGAAGCCTAGGCCAGCGAAAAGGACCAGGCTAACGTGGTAGAGCTTCATCATTTCGATTTTGAATAGCGGGGTATGAAATGGGATAGAGAGCTGTTGGTTGATGGAAAAGACGATTGGGGTTTCGAAAGATGGCGAGGGGAGAGTAAAGTGGGAGAAGGGGAGAAGAAGCAAGAAGTAGACAAAGTGGTGGAAGTGGAGGGAATGTGACACATTAATCAAGTGAAGAAGGAAGGAACAATTGGGGTCGAGCCAACAGTATTCACCTCACTTCCTGGCTTGGAAGGCACTCCAGAAGTGATCCATGGCCAAGAGGTCTGTCTTAGTATGAGTTTGTTGTGTATCTGAAGCTCCTTGCCTCTGGAGACTCTAGCTAGAACCATTACCAATTACTGCTACACTATCTGTATCGATGGAAACCTGTCCAAGGGAAGAGCTCCCATTTCATCAGAAAGAGAGGATGTCCATTGTCATAGTACTCATGTGAGGAGGAGATAATAAATAGGAGATTGGGGAACGAATCCCTAAGGGCTATCTGCAATCCCCTACAATTTTAGGTTGTACCTAAGCGGGCCCCAGAAAGTACTTATCCCTGGTGGGTTTTGTTCCGATGGCGGATGGCCAATCCGCTTGTTATACATAATGACAACACTGGACATTGTACTACGTACTTAGTACTCACTGCTAGGTTGCTGCCCATGCCATTGACTGGCAGCAGAGATTAAGGGAGGTGACCAATTGGGTAAGGAAAACAATGGTTCATGAGACCATCATCGGAATCCCGGAGGAATGTAGTTATGCATGCCAGTGCAACGAAGTTCCTACTGAAGTTGGACAGAAATTAAGATATCTGTCTACTCGTGTGTCTATAGTACGAGCCACCTCCAGGAGGGGAGGAGTCCACTTTGCCCGCCACTAGAAAGGTAGTCTAATGGGATGGCCCAATTATATATGAAGGTCCCCAGAGCCCGTTGTCGATCTTCAGCCAGGGTTACTGTGTAAGGTGGAGAGTTCAGCTGGACTCATCAAACTTTCGAGGCCCCAATACGCAGTGTTTCTTTCAGGTGGTCTTCTGGCCCTGATCGGTATCCCTTGCATTTCAAACCGGGTGAGCATCGGGGCCATGTTTCTGCCTTGAAATGAATGTCTCTCCATTTGCTTGCAGCCTCGAAATATGCATGCCTGCATGCATGCATGAGCAGCCGAGGAGGGCTTCAATGTGAACATGGCTGATCACTGCGGAAGAATTGTGTGGCGCTTATTAGCCAATATAAAGTTTCTCTCAGCGTACACTTTGTAAGGTGTAGACTTGATTCGACCTCCAAGAACTTGCAAGATGTGCTAGTGTCTCTTTGTGTATCACCCTGATGTCCAATAAGACAAAATTACTCATGATTGGTATGAGTTATCAGGTATGGTAGACTTGCCGTGTCTGATAAATGAGTTATCCCTTTTGAGTTACACTACCTCATCCGATCGACATCCTCCAGACAAGTAGATACTTTCAGAAAGATGGTCAGAAGGCTGGGGTCCACGATCCAATTTTGGGCCTGGCCGCCGCCGTTAAGAAAAAGAGTACTAGTTCGTTCTTTCATAGCCAGTAGTAAATTCACCAGCGGCATCCTGATCCGCGCCCACCAATTTGGTTTCTGATGATATACACGAACTAGGGCTGGAATCATTCATTACTACCACCGCCCTTGCAGAACGAGAATGTCCGCTCGGGACACCCATCATTTACGAATTTCTGGAAGGCAGAAATTCCCCGCAAATTGTATTCCCTCGTCTAGGAATACTTCAATTGTGAACATTTTGCATGACGACTTCCCCGCGTGATCCTCGTGGGACCTTGATTTCGCCTTCCAGAGTTCCCAGCCGGAGGGGTCTAGGCGTCCGACCATCAACAATTGGCCTCCTTGTACTATCTATCCGTTCATTCCACCCTAGCCGGTGACTTTTTGGCACTAGTTTCTTATTGTATCTACCTGGCCACGCAGAATAAAAACATGGGGCTTGGCGTGTTGGATACCAAGCGCCCTCATGTACCAGGTAGGAGCCATATCATGCACAACCATGCCTGTCTCTGCAAAATACACTGAACACTGCTTCTGAATATAGGCACCACGGACATACTCGAGCGAGAGCACTCCAACAATGAGCCGGTCATCGACTCGAATCTAAAATACGATCGGTCGGGCTCTGTACCCATCCTACTTGTCCCTCAACCAAGCGATGATCCCAACGATCCATTGGTGTGTTGAAGTCACTCTTGAGGAGCTACGAGTTTTATGGGCAATAGCTGACGATCTCGAAACAAGAACTGGCCACTCTGGAAGCGCGATGTCACACTTCTGGTTCTGTCTTCTGTTGCGGTGCTTTGCGCAACGACAAGCTCGCTGATGGCTGCCAACACCGTAACAATTGCTCTTTACTATGGCAAGAGCTTCACCTCAGTCGCGCTTCTCACTGGCTACCATCTCTGTGGTGTTGGAGTGGCTGGGATCTTGATTGTACCTACAGCACGAGTTTGGGGAAAGCGTCACCTTTTCCTGCTTGGAAATGCCTTGATGGTGGTGAGCTGTGCCTGGGCTGGGGGCAGTAAGCACAACTACCAGAGTCTGTTATGGGCTCGTATCTTCCAAGGAATTGCTCTTGCTCCATTCGAAGCTCTGGTCAATGCATGTGTCGGTGACTTGTTCTACGTGCACGTGAGTATAAACAGCATCTCACGGACCTCACAAGCACATGCTTATCAAGCAAACAGGAACGAGGCAAAAGGATGGCACTGTCCAACGTTGCTCTCTTTGGTGCGGCCTTTCTTACGCCAGTACTGGCGGGCAAGATCACACATACCCTTGGATGGGACTGGACTTTCTACCTGGTAGCCATTTTCGCGGCGGCAGCACTACCTCTCACATTCTTCTTTGTCCCCGAGACAGCTTTCAGGCGACCGGACTACTTGAACGCTGACTTCGAATATGCCAACGATCGCTCCACCTCGGAAGTCCAGCTCAATGATATCACAACATCGGAGGCTACTCCAGGGCCCGACAATCAAAAGCAGACCTCATCCGCAGTCGAGCATCACCAACCTACGTCCTCGCAAGAGCTACTCCGAAAGAGAGAGTCAGAAACACCAGCCAAGGTGTCCTACCTCCAAACTCTCAAACCATTCAATGGACGCAAAACCGACGAGAGCTTCTTCAAGCTCCTTTTACGCCCCTTTCCCTTATTCTTCCACCCCGCAATCCTTTGGGTAAGCCATGCCGCAAAAAGCCTCATCAAGCCACAAGCCCCACGCTCTGACCATCTACTAGGCATGCTTGATCCAAGGCGTTATCATCGGATGGACCGTATTCATCGGTGTCGTCCTAGCCGCCATCTTCCTCGGGCCTCCCCTATGGTTCAACGAGGTGCAAACCGGGTACCTGTACACGGGGGCCTTCATCGGTTCCATACTAGGTCTGATCCTATCGGGACTTCTCTCCGATTCGATGAACCGCATCATGATTAAACTCAACCGAGGGAAGTACGAGCCGGAGTTCCGCATCCTCCTCGTGATCTTTCAATTGATCTTCTGCGGCGCTGGGCTGTATGGGTTTGGTATCATCGCCGAGGATGTCGCTCGTTACGGATGGCTGGTGGCAGATGTGTTCTTCGCTCTGGTTATTATAGGCATGGTGATGGGCGCTGTCGCGAGTGCGCTGTACATTGTCGATGCACATCGTAAGTAGAGCTGCGAGATGTTGGATCTATTACGGTTCAAAGCTGACGCTTCCAACAGGCGAGATTGCCATCGAGTCTTTTACATGCATGCTGGTGTTCAAGAACATGTTCAGCTTTGTGTTGACGTTCTATGCCTATGACTGGCTGCTGCTGAATGGCATCAGGCCGGCTTTCCTGGCCATCTCTAGCATTCAGATGGGAGTCTGTGCTTTGAGCATTCCGATGTGTAGGTGTTTCTTGCTGTTACTCCTACTCGCCCGGGGAGGGACTGACGTGTTTTCTAGATATTTTCGGTAAATGGAATCGCTCATTCTTCAGCCGCCATGATATTCTGAAGATGCTGCACTTGCGGTGAAGGTACACGATCTACGGGTGATGATCTTTGATCATTTGCTTTTTTCTTTCTCCCTTGTTAAGAATACCCCTCACTAGATTTGACAATAACTTTCAGCGATCGCAACTATATACATTTTAGCTCGACTCCAAGTTTAGAAAAGAAAAAGAAGACAGAAGTAAACAAAACAATACCCGAAGACTCCCGAGGCTGGAAGGACTCGTCCCGCGTGACCTCTCCGGACAGGATTGAATTAGCCAAGCAAGTAGAACCACAATAAACCCATGGATGGATCCACTGACGAAGTGGTAGAGTAAGGTAGCATTGGGGAAGCTCCGGAAGCCATCCAAACGCCTGGAATCCGTCAACCGCGGTTCAACGCAGCCCAGCGAGCCACCTAAAAGTACCCACAACCGATGAAAAAGACCACAATAGAATGAGGAAAAATAAGAGCGATGGAAAAGAAAAAAAAAATAAATCGAATGGAGAGAAAAGAAGAATAGACAGAAAGAGAGTCATCAGTTTCATAATCTCATGGTAACCATAATGGCGTTCCGACATATCCAAAGTCCCAAAAAAAAATTGCGCGCAATTAATAGTTCGACGCAAACACTGTGTCCGATGCAATGACTGCAATTGTTGCAATCTAGAAAATCCCCGGTTAGTTAGAACATGATTCTGTAGACTCGTATGGATACTGTATGTAGTATTATGCAGTATATATACTCTATGGAAAACAGAAAGATGGAAACTCACCAAAGCCATATCCACGCCGGGAGTAACAATCACATCCAGTACAGGGCGATACCCAAGGCGAGATGCAGGCATAAGCGCCAATTTCTCATTATGGCGAATACTCTCCTTCACCTCGGCAATCTTGCGATCCCCATCCACGATATCAAACAGCGCCAGCACATTCCCATGCCGTTGCACCTCCAATGTCAGGGTACGCTCCTCAGGCTGCTTCCCATCGGCCGCAGCTACATTGTCGAACGTGATGGTGAAGTTGCAGTTCCCCCAGCCGGCGGCACTGAAGGATGAGCGCTGGACAGCACCTTTGGCTATCGGGCTGGTTGGGTTACTGCCGGGTAAGGTGACGGACCAGTTGTTCTTGAAAG